TGACATGACCAAAAACATTTCATAGGGGTTTTTTGTTTGTTTTCCTGGTTGTTTTAATCCAAATATGTCTATGTAAGCCTTCAGACAAATCCTGCTTCCAAATTCATCAGTCTTTTATTTGGGTTTTTAATCCAGTCAGAGATCCAGACTGGGCAGGCAGCTTGATAGTACAGTTTGATATTAGGGAACACTAGTTCTCCTACTTCATTTTTTTCTTGTAAAACTTTAAATCTGACCCTTGGTTTCTTGCCATTCCATATAAACATGCTTATCAGTCTTTGCCAGGCTTTCAGTATCTTATCATGTATCTCAGTTGGGAGTATTTGAAATAGAAATATAATTTTGGGGAGAATATTGATTTTTATTGCAGAAATTTTCCCAAACCAAGACAAATTTAGATTAGACCATCTCTCCAAACCCTTTTGAATTTCATTCCAGACTATTTCATAGTTATCTTGGAAAAGTGTTTCTTTTTCCCTGGGCAGTTTTATTCCCAAATATTTGACTGAATTGATAACAAAATCACTTCCTGTGACTAATTTAATATTATCCTCTTCTTGTTTTGATTTGGAAATCATTTTGGTTTTTTTCCTGTTAATCTTAAATCTAGAAAGAAGCAAAAGTTTCCATTGCAAGGATAAATAATAATGGTGACAAGCAGTGTTCCCTCTAAGATGAGTTAGTGCGAGCTAGCTCACAGTTTTTTAGCTTCCAGCTCACACATTTTTGTCTTAGCTCAGGAAGGATGGCTCCAGAGCAAACTAATGTATGCAGTAGCCCAATCGCTCGCTCACAACTTTAATGCCAGTAGCTCACAAAGTTGAATTTTTGCTCACAATACTCCACAGCTTAGAGGGAGCATTGACTGACAAAGGATATCCTTGTTTTGTCCCCTTTTCTATCTGGAATCCATCAGTTAACATGCCATTATTTAATTTGTTTTGCATTGTGTTCTGTTTTTGTTATTCTCTACTGTTTCTTTACACTGGTCATTATAATAGTTCTCACTTCTATATACAAATTGCAGGAATGTTGACTCTATTTCCGTTGCCTTTTACTTTTACTTCTTGCCTGTCTTTAAACAATTTTAAGAATTTCGGTCATTCATCATGGCTTTTCATTTCTTTTGGCTACAGGCATTATCTTTGCACATTCTTCCTTGCTAATATATCTGACTTCAACCATAGTTCTTCCAGATCATGTTCACTTGCTTAGTATTACAAATCTGTTCTTTACATGGTCTTTAAATTCTTCAGAAATGTTGTTTAGATTGTAATGTGGCACTATGAATGTTTTGGAATTTTTATTCAGCTTTATTCTAATTTTTGATAATAACAATTCATGGTCATACCACAATAAACTCCTGGCCTTGTTTTAGGATAGAGAATAAAGCTTCTCTATCATCTGCTTCTGGTTATGTAATTAGTCATTTGGAGATGTCCACATATACAGTCTTCTGTTTGGTTGCTGAAACATGTATTCTCACTGAACAAATTGGGGTGTAAACTTGAATGATGGTTATACTGATAGGCTTTCCATGAAGTCTGATTGATATTATTCAGTCAGACTTTGTATTGTAGTCCCTGGCTGCTTATGCTACATTTCACCTCACTATTAGAGCAATGCTGTTTCTTCTGAGTTTGTCATTTCCAAAGTTAAACACTTTGTAATTTTCTGACTTAAAATGTCCTAATCCAGTCCACATTTATATTTTACATTTATATCCTGCCTTTATTCCATAAGACCCAGTGTGGTGTAGTGATTAGAGGATCTGACTAGGATATAGGCGGTAAGTTAAAGGTTTCCCTTGCTCAAAAGCCAGTCGAATCCGACTCTAGGGATGCGGTGCTCATCTCCGTTTCCAAGCCAAAGAGCCAGTGCTGTCCAAAAACGTTTCCGTGGTTATGTGGTCGGCATGACTAGATGCCGAGGCTCACGGAACGCTGTTACCTTCCCACTGAAGTGGTACCTATTTATCTACTTGCAATTTCTTGCTTTCGAACTGCTAGGTTGGCAGGAGCTGGGACCAGAGACGGGAGCTCACTCCATCATGTGGTACTCGGGTCTCGAACTGCTGAACTACAGACCTTCCAGTCTGCAGCTCAATGTCTTAACCACTTGAGCCACCGCAGCCCTCTAGGACAATGGAGACCGGGTTCAAATCCCCACTACTGCCACTCAGCCATCCAGAAGTAAAAGCTACATACAGTCCTAATCATTGTGGGATGCCAAAGACATAATCGGTGAAAAATTGAATAGGTCTCTAGATTTATTGCAGTGTTATATTGGAGAGCCAGTGTGTTGTAATGATAAGAGTGTCAAGCTAGGACCAGTGGGACCTGTATTCAAACCTCCATTTTCCCTTGAAACTCAGGGTCAAACCACATGAAAGTGCCATTGAAGCAAACATATAGGTACTGGTGTGAAATTCCAGTGTGGCAAACAGCAACTCCCCAGAGCTGTCTCAGATTGCGAAAATGGCTAAGCCTACCTTCCCCTTTCATTGTGTTGTAGTTCTGATCAAATGGATGTTTTCACACATGCTAAATAATGCAGTTTCAATCCACTTCAGTGACTGTTTGCAAGTGGATTTTGCCATTTCACACAGTAACGTCCAGTTGCAAAATGCGTTTAAAGTGGATTGAAAATGTGTTATTTAGTGTGGGTGAAAGTGACCAGGATATGATGGTTTCCTGGGGCTAGATGCCACATCAGAGGATTTTTTTTCATCATTTCCCACCTTCCCCGATCCGTATGTACATAAGTGCCATCAAGTCACAAACAAACAACTTACGGTGACCCAAGCAAGGGGCTTTCAAGGCAAGTGAGAAGCAGAGGTGGTTTTGCATTGTCTTCCTCTGCAGAGCCTTCCTTGGTGGCCTGGGAGGTACTTACCCTACTTAGCTTTTGACAGCTGACAAGGTCCTGCTATGTTAGCCAAATTGCCTTGAATTGCTGGTTAATATGGGGAGTTATGGTCTTAGATTAGGCAATAGGCAACTGCGGGGGCAAGCATCTATGTATACAGGGGTGCAGATTTCTCCAGACACACCAAAATAGATGCTCAGACTGATATCAGTACAAGATGGTGTTGTTTACTAAATGTGTTTCAAGCACACAATAACACAAGTGCACAAATTATACAGCGTCTAAGAAGTATAGATAGAAATAAAAGAACACATTTGCTTTAGCATGGTATTTCGATGATGGGATATACTATACCTGTCCTGTAGTTGGATGGAGCGAATCTCAGGAAAATGAGGGGGCTATGGGATGGTGGGGAGCAGGCCGTGTCCTGAGCCAGCAGGTGCACGGTAAGACCCTGGCTGCGCAACCAAGAGTTCGAGACTTCGGGTAGGGAGGGGTCAGGTAGGGGAGCAAGAGTGCAAGTAATAGAGAGAGCTGGCGCTGCGCAACCCCCTTTATAAGGAGGCTGAGGGGTGGGCTTAGACTTGGCCACCTGCCTTGGCACACCTTCTGCTAGTCTGTCCGCAAAAATGTGCTGACTAGTGTTGGGGTTGAAGGTCTGTGGAGTGGGCAGTGTTGATTCTAATGGGAAACTAGATTGAACAATGGCACTTGATGGGATTATGTCTTCTGCTGGCCAGAGATATTGTTCTCTTGTTGTCTCATGTCTGCAGTTTTGACTAGGTGACGTATTAGGTGGGGAAAAACATGCTGCTTACGTGCATAGGAAGGGGACTCTTCATGGAGTCTGGGTCCCCTGTCTTCTGGCCTGGCATGGCGGCAGCCTGGCTTTGCAATGCTGTATGTGGCTAGGGAGCTGGTTCACCTCACTGCAAGTAAGAGGGAGGGTGACATACATGTGCCCTTGGACACATTGTTTCACAGGAAGGCTTCCTTCTTCTGGGCATGTGTCTGTAGCTGGCCCTTTTTGGAGCCACCTTATAGCTCAGTCCCCTTTGCGCACAACTAGCACATGTCCGGTGTTTCATAGTTATGAGTTCACAGAAACATAATAAGAGCCACGTCCATCAACAGCTATACCATGCTGCCTTCCTTCTCATCTTCCCAACTACACCAAGGAATTTAAGCAGATTCTCCAGAACCTTTTGAAAAAGGTCCTGAAGATCAACCTGAGGCCCGGGTATAAACCTACCCTGTATTGATAACTGAGGGTTGAGGCAAACTGACAGGGGCAAGGTGGCTTACTTCTCAAAGAAACAAGAGTGAAATTTATTAAACAGAAACACACAAACTGAGGTAAATCTTAATTGAGAACAAGGAGATGGGAGATAGGATTAGAACAGTACATGGTGAAGGAAAAGAAAATCCATTCCCAGGTAGTGGGTTAAGGCAGCCAACTGTTATCCCTATGCTGCCTTAACCCACTTTCCTGATAAAACTAACCTTTTCCAAACATTCCTCTCTTACTCCTAACTTCCACCTGTCTAAAACTCTAGCTGTCAGATCTTAACCCTGTCTCCCAGCACACACCTCCTATTGACTGGTTCAGAGTGCGTCTCTCATTGGGATAATTTCACTGTTGTTCCTGTCACACAGTGACACACTCCCCCCCCCCCCCCCCCAGTGTGATTTTTAAAGAAAAGATTCAGGGAGCTCCGTTCATAGAATTTCCAGTGTCTTCAGTGGTTTGACCCTCACTGGATGACTTGAGCCAGTTGCTATGTCTCAACCTAACCTACCTCAGAGAGCTGTGAAGACAAAATGGTGCTGGTGTGTTTGTGTAGACAACCCTGAGTTAATTGGAGAAAGGGCAGGGTAAAAATCAAATACTATATAAAAAGATGAAGAAGAGAAATAGAAGAGCAAAACTAGAGGGGGCAAAGAGGAAAATATACAACACGTGTAAAAAGTCTCTAGTTCCAGCAGGACTTTTATATTTCCTAATGATATCATAATGTTCACTATAGATTTCTTTTTAAGGGGAAGGATCGATTTATTTCTTCTCCTTCTGTTTCAGACTTTAAAGCCCTGTAACTTGTCTGTTGACCTCTCCTTGTTTTGTTTCATTGCAGGGTATTTACAGCTGCATCCATGGAGTGGCTATTGAAGACCGCCATTCTTCTATGAATTCCCCCACAGCCACCATGAACAATACACATTCTAACATTTTGCGCCTGCTTCGTACTGCAAAGAACATGGCAAACCTTTCAGGTGTCAATGGCTCACCACAAAGTGCCCTGGATTTCATCCGTCGTGAATCATCTGTCTATGATATCTCTGAACACCGCCGCAGCTTCACTCATTCTGACTGCAAGTCTTATAACAACCCCCCCTGTGAAGAGAATCTTTTCAGTGATTATATTAGTGAGGTAGAAAGGACCTTTGGCAATCTACAGCTAAAGGAAAGTAATGTTTATCAAGACCATTATCACCACCATCATCGCCCCCATAGCATAGGTAGTGCCAGCTCCATTGATGGACTGTATGACTGTGATAATCCACCTTTCTCTGCACAGCCTCGGTCTCTTAGTAAGAAGCCATTAGATATTGGTTTGCCACCGGCCAAACATGGCCAGCTAGGTGACCTTTATGGCAAGTTATCTTTCAAGAGTGACCGATACAGTGGTGGAGGGGCACATGATGATTTGATTCGCTCAGATGTCTCGGACATATCCACCCATACAGTGACTTATGGCAACATTGAAGGTAATGCTGCAAAAAGGCGAAAACAGCAGTACAAGGATAGTCTAAAGAAGCGCCCAGCCTCAGCTAAGTCACGGAGAGAGTTTGATGAAATTGAATTGGCCTACCGTCGGCGTCCCCGTTCCCCTGACCACAAGCGCTATTTCAGGGACAAGGAAGGGCTAAGGGATTTCTATTTGGACCAGTTTCGGGCAAAGGAGAACTCACCACACTGGGAACATGTGGATCTGACAGATATCTATAAAGAGCGGGGAGATGACTTCAAGCGTGACACTATAGGGGGAGTAGGGACATGTACTAATAGAACCCACCACAAACACGGGTCAGGGGACTTTGGAGCAAACAATGAGCACAAGCACAGTGTTGTGAGTGGGGTACCTGCACCATGGGAGAAAAACCTCACCAATCTTGATTGGGAGGAACGGCCAGGGGCAAATTATTGCCGTAGTTGCCCATCTAAGCTGCATAACTACACTCCAGCTGTGGTGGGGCAGAATTCCACCCGCCAGGCATGCATCCGGTGTGAAGCCTGCAAGAAGGCAGGCAACCTCTATGACATCAGTGAGGACAACTCCCTCCAAGAGCTGGATCAGCCATCTGCTCCTGTGCCAGTGGCAACCAGCACTTCCACCACCAAGTATCCTCAGAGCCCTTCCAACTCCGCCTCCAAGGTGCAGAAGAAGAATCGCAACAAGCTCCGCCGGCAGCATTCGTATGACACGTTTGTGGATCTGCAAAAGGAAGATGCAGCCCTGGCCCCCCGCAGTGTAAGCCTGAAGGACAAGGGTCGCTTTTTGGAGGGAAGTCCCTATGCCCATATGTTTGAGATGCCAGCAAGCGAATCCACCTTTGCCAACAACAAGTCCTCCGTGCCCACCACCAGCCACCACCACCACAACAATCCTGGCATTGGTGGTGGTTACATGCTCAGCAAGTCACTCTACCCTGATCGGGTCACTCAAAACCCTTTCATCCCCACTTTTGGTGATGACCAGTGCTTGCTCCACGGCACCAAATCCTATTTCTTCAGGCAGCCTGTGGTGGCAGGAGGGCCCAAGGTGAGGCCAGACTTCCGAGCCATTGTCACCACCAACAAGCCGGTGGTCTCGGCCCTTCACGGGGCTGTGCCAGCCCGTTTTCAGAAGGACATCTGTATAGGGAACCAGTCCAACCCCTGTGTGCCTAACAACAAAAACCCCAGGGCTTTCAATGGCTCCAGCAACGGGCATGTTTATGAGAAACTTTCCAGTATTGAGTCTGATGTCTGAGTGATGGGGAAGAGCATGGGAGGGGATGGTGCAGGAAATATGAAGTGTGGGAGGGTCAGGTGGTGGGTTCAGACCTAATTCCCATTTGCTACTCTTCTACTCTTCTTTTTTTCATTGTGGAATACTGGAGTTCTGCTTAGGCAGCACTGTCAAGAAGTGCCACCTCTTTCTTTTCCCACTCTCCGACCCGTTTATCTCTTTTCATTTCCCCACTCACAATTCTATTCCTGACCATAACATGTCAAAGCATAGTAGCTTAGCTTGTGTTTTCACTGTTGGAAAGGCAGGACATATTTGAAGCAAGGTCAACGCATGAGTGGGGGCAATGGCCACAGAGTTTGTGGTTTTCTTAGCGTGAGACAGTGAGGGTTCATTCAGATACGAGAATGTAACAGGAGGTGGAGCATAGAAGAGACGGAGTGGTCATGACGAAGATGTATTTCTTCTCTTATCTGTAATTTTAAGCAAAATTAACGGGGCATGAATAATATGGGATCAACCTAATACAATACATGTTGATTACATGCAAAGATTCATTCAGTTCTTTTGTGAAGACTTCCTGGGTTTAATGGCTGAAATATGTAGCTACATATATACTGAAGGGAAAAAATGTATGAAGCTGTGATACATTTACTGTGGGGAGGAGAGGTTTGACATGAATGCCATCTGGCTAATTGTCCAGTCAGAATAACCAATAATAACCCAGTACAATCCCTTCTGAAGGATACATTGGAATGGCAGAAGTGAATGCCAATAAAACTATGAGAGGGGGGAGTCCCAGGGGAGGGGCCAATGGCAAGTTTTACCTTATTTATGAATAACTCGTGTTAATTTTGAAATCATGAAATTTCAGATGTGGGTTGGCATATACAGAAGCTTACATGAATAATAATTTACAGAAAACATGTTATGATACATAAGATGTTTTAAGGTGATGAACTCAGCAGAGCAAGCTTTTGCAGTGCAGGAGCATGCAAAGCACGGTCAAAGAGAAGCCGGGTTGGCAACTCAGACTCCACTATTCAGGAAACTTTGTTCTGAGTGGTTAAATCTGTAAAGGGAGGGGGGGAGGCCTTAGCCACCCTTCCTCCCTCTTGCCCATCATGCAAAGTGACTTTGTAAGAAGGATACAGAAAAGGCTTTCTCTGCTGGTGAGTTGTGAGGTACTTCCTCTGAATAGAAAGGAGGACAGGATGGTGCGGATGGTGGCAGGAATAGGGCCAGAACAAGGATCTGGCTGCACAACTCAGACATGTGTATATGTGTATTTATTGAATATATACTTATGTTTGATAATTATAGTGTTGTGGAAATACATGGCTTGTCTTCCACAGGGCATGAGGAGATGAAGCATCAGATTCCACAGATGCTGTGGTAGGGACTGGAGAGCAGAGGTGGAAAGATTAGGGGGAAAGAATTGTAGAGACCAGCAGGTGCTACGCTGAACAAGCGGTAGTCTTTAGCAACCTCAGAGTTGGCCTGGCCCTGTTCTCAGTGCATGTGGAACTGGTACCAACAATTTTCCTGCCAGGGAATCACTGTAAATGCAAGTTAAACTACATATATGGAAGGGATGTTAGAAGAAATGAGATTGTTTCGTTTACAGCAGGAACCCTCAGGTAAGGGGCAACAGGTCTGTTGTTGCTTTCCAAACATGTGGCAAAGCATCTCACTTTTTCCTGGGTCTGTTCTACTTTCCTAACAGGAGGGATTGATGAAAAGAGCTCTTCTGATATATGGGGCACGTTGCAATGAAACTGAATGCATGTAGAGACACAGACCCTGAACTTTTGGAAGCAGCCATTCTTTTTTCGAGCCACATTTCTTGTAGCTGATACTTCTCTCATGTATCTTTCCCACCACACCACAGTTGGGTTTATCTTAATATCTTTCTTGCATTCAAGCCAACAGAAGGCCTTGTTTTTTTCTTAAATGGGGTAGGAATGAGCCTGAACATTTTGTGAGATGGGAAATTCCCCCCTCCACTGGATTTGCTGAGCAAATTATGGAAGAAACAGTGGTAAAAGCAGTGCCCTCTCTGTTGTGGGAAGAGTCGAACACTTTTTAGTTCCATTCTTCTTTCCTATGTAAAAGGAACACTATATTTGCTTAGCAATCTGCAGAACACAAAGTGATGAGGCCGAATCCTCCAACAAGGGCCATTGAGAAGGTATTCATTTCATTTGTAAATATTTTTTTCTATTGCATTTTGTACAAACTAGTGCTTCTCTTCTTGTGAATATTCAGGTTTGAAGAGGAGAAAGGTTAGGTTGTTGTTTTTTCCTACAACTTTCAGGCCGTGAATCTGGAAGTGGTTTTATGTGGGCCCAGGCCATTAAAATAGAGGAGAATGAGAGAAAACTGCATGCATTGAATACCTCTTTCTAATCACACCTGTCACCTTTTTTCTTCATGATTAGAAAATGGTGGTACATCACCTCAAGCCTTGCTAGCAGGGCTTTCGTGTTCAAATGAAAGCACACCATCTCCCTTTGCTTGATTCTGCACTCCATGCCACCATCCCTCACTGGGTTCTGAGACAATGTGCTGTTTTCCCTTGGTGATGGAGTGGACCATCATTTTGAATGTTCAGTTTAGACTATCACCCAACACTACAGGGATTTCTCCAAAGTTATGTTGGCTTGGGAACCTTAGGACTGGGAAATCTCTTCAGTTTACAGCACTTCTTAAGGTTTATTAGCAGCTGGGTTTACTCATCAGTCAATTCCTGGCCTCTATTTCAGTATTCCCATCCCCCAGCTGAAACCAAAAAATATTAGAGAATGGTACTGTGGAGAAGACTAAACTGAAAAACAAACCAAAAAGATGCTAACTGAACTTTCAGAATGATTCCAGAATAGTGGTTCTGAGTGAGAGTTTACATGGATCTCATTTTCTTGCAACCCTTTTCTTGGACCCTAGCTCAATTTGAACATTAAAAAACATGTTTACATATATAGTGTTTAGGGGTGATAATATTAAAGTGCTTTACAAATGTGAATTTGTGTGCACAGGGCATGAAGAATGTCTGCTTTAAAGACAGTTAGAATTGTTGGAGTTAGTCCATTGCAGTGACTTTTATCTTTTGACAAGTGAAATTAGCCTCCTGGCCTTTTCCATTTATCCTTTGTTGTAAACATTTTTGTTGATTTCTTTTTCCTTGAAATTTGACCAAGAGGAAGAGAGTTGGTTGGATCATTTTCTCACACATAAGTGACACTGTTAATGTTGATTATGGTTTTGCAATTCAAAATTCTGAGTATTATTTTCCTCAAAATAATCAAGTGAACATGATGGGAAATCTTAGCAGCAGGTACAGGTTATGCTAGTTTGGAGACATGGTGATGTTTGTTGCTGAACAGGTTGCCAAAAAACCCAAAAAAACACATATCCCCAAACACCTACATGGGATTTCATACTATAGGCCAACAAAATTGAATGTCAGTTGCTTAAGAAACACAATTTCTGCTTCCTCCTTGGAAAATCTAAATATTTTCTTAATCTCTCTGTAATTAAATGACATTGATTTCCCCCCAACTCTGGGTTATTGCCTCTTGCATGGGAGAGCGCCTCTCTACCTGGTCCATTTTTCAATCTGGCATCTTTTGTCACTGAACACCTTTAGGAAGTTTAGAAATATTTTCTGAGTACTAATTCGTCTAGAGCCATGACAATGCAGATGTAGTAAATCTTACAGGATAAGAGAGAAAATGTTGGGGGCAAGTAGTGAATTTCCCACACTATTCAACTTCCTAAATCACTTAAGATCACTTATTCTGGCATATTTTGATGATGTGATACAACACCTGTTGATAGAGCAATACCCTATACTGTAATGTGTGGTGTTCCATAAAGTAGGTTACTGGCGGTATTATTAAAATGTGTGATGCCCCTGCATTCAACATTAATCTACAGTTTTTAAAAACTGTGTTGCCCTCCCCCTGGTACAAATCTGTGAGTATCTCTTGTGCCTGCAGAAATCCAATACAATCCCAACTTGGGTTCAGGTGTTTTAGCAGTTTTCTTGCAAATTTCCTTCCCCATTGGGGGTATTTTCACATTCTTTTTATATAGCCCTACAAAATTTTCCATAGGTTTTAATGACATTGATCAGTATGGTAATTGAAGCCTTACTTATATAGAGGAATATTTTTTCTACTGGCTCTCTAGTTGATTCCATAATAGTCAGAACAGAATTATATGCCTCTTGAGTTTATTTATATTATTTTAACATGGGAACATCCCTGCTTGCCAGAAAGAGTTGGCATGTTGTTAATGATTGCACTTGGTAATGCCCACCTCCTCCAAAATGGGACTTGTATTATCTTCATTCCATTGACATCCATCAGAGATAAGTGCATGAAACTACCTGAAAGACCAGGTCTTTGAGGACCTGTAAAGAGAAGAGGAACCTAAACTCATCTAACCTGCTATTTCTATCCTCTCCCATAAGTGCTTCCCTATAATTGAATACACTAGGTCTGTGGAATAGAATAGATCCACTGTACTGCTGGACTCTGCTTGAATATGAAGAAAGTAATTAGCGGGACACCAGCTTTGTCCCCCAAGGGCTTATTTCCAGTTTGTAGCCAAATAGGCTTCCAAGCCATAATCTCTTGTTCTTAATATTCCCTACATCCTCACCACAGGAGAAGCTGGTTGGGGTTATAACCGCTAGTTATATTTCCAAGCATATCACTTCATTTCCATTATGGATGGGTTTCCTTTTCTGGAGTCCATCAAAACAAACCTCAGACAAAACTCAGCCACCTCATTTTTAAAAGATTAATTTGAAACCCCATTTCCCTCTTCTGAATGTCCCTAGGTTCTTGTTGTTGACAGGACTGTCCATATCACCCTGTAGAGAAAAAAAACCAGAATATGGCTTTAACAGCAAAGATCAGCAAAAAGACTGAGAAGCAGTTCATACAACTAGGGATGGGCACGAACTGGCTCATGAACTAAAGATCATGACAAATTTTGGATGGTTCATGGTTTGT